CAGCCTCTCAAGTAGCTAGGGTTACAGGTGTGCACTAATGTGCTTAGCTTCTTTAATTTTTACACATTTTTCTTTTATCCTTTACACATTTTTCATTTGTCTAATTCACTCTTCACAGTTTAAAAGAACTATTTAATACATTGATTCACTTTTTAATGTTATGATTTTTTTAGCCTGAATGTTTTAAATTCTTTTAAATATGTCTTTTTTTCTCACTTTCTAGTTCTTTCAGTATGGATTTTTCATTCTCTTTAGATATTTAAGTATTTCAAACATACTTTTAATGCAATCTCTTTCAGATTGACCTATTTCTTTCCATTCTGAACGTGGTAATTCTATTGCTCCTAGCATCCACAGACTCTCCCTGGTGTTACTACAGTTTTTCATACAGTTTTGTAAATCTTGGCTGAGAGCTTACCTTTAGCAAAAGTTGACTTTAAAATCTTTGAGATGTGAGTGCCCCAGTTTTGCATTCATATACAAAAGGGATCCTATGAATTTGAATGGTGATGGCCAATTGTTTCTATAAATTAGGGTTCCTAACAACATAGGGAGTTTACCTTTAAACCCAACAACTGAAGTACAGACTAAGAGTTTATTTTCTCATAGAGAACTGTATATATCATCCAAAGTCCAGTACAGATAGTAATCTTCCTCACTTTTTCCACAGCTGAGGACTACAGATATTTTCCTTCCCTTTCCATGCCTGAGGCAGCCCTAAGGGTGCAGGCTTCGCACAGTATTGTATACACTTACGCAGACCCAGCAGCAAATCATCTGTTATGATAAACATTGCAACCTCAGGCCTCCAATTTGAAGTCTCAATGTATCTTGACATCATTAGCTTCTACATGCCATTCCAACTCTTTGTTTCTTGATTTAGGGCATTTGTGTTGATTTGATGGTTTGGTTTGCTTTTCATTTTCTATTTATTCCCATTAATTTTTAGCTGGGTTATCCATAATTTTAAAAAATGGAAAACGAAGTTAGAGGATGCTGGCTGAATGGTATCTAGATGTCTTCTGATTTTTTGACTTGGTAAGCATCGAAAGAGGATCTGTCCTTCAATTTTCCTCCACACTTATTCCTCCAAATTTCAGTCTTCTTTCTTCTCCCACTCCATATTTTATACACTAACTTAATTAATGGGTGAGGAAGAGGCCTACAGAAAGAAGATCCAAAGTCGAACAGCACTGTGGAGTCATTTCTTTAAAAAAAAACTTCCTGACTCATTGAACCTTCCCTCCCAGTGGTTCTCAATCTTAGAAAAAGCAAAGATCATCTGAGGAATTACTTAAAATGCAGAAATCAGAGTTCCATATACTGAAGCTCTTTGTCAATAGGTCTGAAGTACAGTCTAAGAATATGGAGAACCTGAGTAGATCCTAACATCCTTATTTTGATTAATTTAGTAACTTTAGATTATAATGTGGGAGATTAAAAACAAAAACACCCTAGACATCAGTTTAATTTAATTAATCAGTTTAATTTATACAGCTATAATTTATACTTTTCCACTAAAAGCAAAAAAAATCTACTTAAGTGTTCTGCTTAACTCATTTATAATAAAAATAAAAATTAAGTTTCCCACTTAATTGCTTCTGATATCATTTCTTTAAAAGTGTTCTTTTGTAATATTTATTTGAGATCAATCTTGTTTTAAAATGGTGCAATAAGAAATATGCACCACTGAAAACAACTGACATTATTTGGAAAATTCCTGCCATGATAATTTTGTCTCAGGAGAAAATGAAGAAATCCATAAAATTACTTAGGCATTATTTACAGAAAGCTGAGTCAAGAAACAGGTGTTACTGTTGGAATGATGAACTTCTCCTCTTCTTGACTCATAAATTTCTAGTATATGAGCCTATAAATTCTATATTAGATGCTGGGTTCACATCGATTTATGTCATTTATTTCCTTTCACTGGGAAAAAAAAAGGTAGATGATCTACATGGATCTTTCTAGCTGTTTCACAAACTATAGGCTTTGAGAGCAAATGGAGATATCAATGCTTCAGTGGATCCAACTTGCACATGTCCCAGCACTTGGCTGTTGGAAGTTATTCTTGAAAAATATTTGCATCTGTGCAAAGAGCCTGGCTACAATGCTAGCTAGCATTCCATTTCCAGATGGCTATGATTACCACCTAATTATTTTAAACCCTGATTTTATTTCAAACAGTTTACCATTGTCAAGGGTCAGTGCCCGGTATGATATTGCTGAGATCAAATATTTTTGGTTCTAGGTCCCTAGTTACAAGAGTTCAGGAATGGTCTTCCTTATAGTGATTGATAGACCATTCAACAAAATCCATGGATAAAACAATGAATCCAATATTAAAATTATAATAAAACCATAAATAATTTTATAAAAATTATTCAAAGTCACAGT